GGGTGTGGATAAGGGTTGGGGCAGTCAGGGGACGGGTAGGGGGTAGGGTCCTAGGGGGCCAGTTAGGATGTGGGGAAGGTCTCAGGAGGGGGCAGTCAGGGGACAAGGAGCAGGGAGGCTTAGGTAGGGGGTGGAGTCCTGGGGGGCAGTTCCGGGCAGGGGTCCCAGGAGGGGGACAAGGAGTGGGGGGGAGGGTTGGGGGTTCTGAGGGGGCGGGAAGTGGAAGGGAGTGGAAGGGGCAGGGCGGGGCTAGGGCAGGACGGGGGCGGGGCTAGGGCGGGGCTCCTCCCATCCTCTTTTTTTGATTGTTGAAATATGGTAACCCTACCTAAGGAGATGCTTCCCCCAGATCCTGTCCCCACCCCGTCCCGCCTCTTTCCGCCCCCCAGCCTCTTCCCTGCCCAGTTCTGCCCCCTCCCCCAAGTGCGCTGTGCACCCCCCCAGTGCCTCCTGACACTGCGAAAGCAGCTAAACTTCTGATCCATGGCTGGTGGTAGGCGCTGAGAGGGAGGTGGAGGCGCTGATCGGTGGGGCCCGCTGGGAAGCAGGAGGCGCGGGGGGAGGGGAGGTTCTGGTAGGAGGGATCCCTCTCGCCCCCCCCCACCCACTTGCTGCTCGCCTCCCTGTTCGCCTCCTCACCCTCCCGTCTCTTGCCTCATCTCCCCGTCCGCTCCTCATGATTTTCTTGACGCGCGGGGCTCCCCAAAGTGTGGGGCCCGGGGCGGTTGCCCCGATTCGCAGTACCCAAGGGATGGCTCTGATGAAAGGATCCCCAGATGTACTTTTACAGCTCATGACATACAGTTCTATTGTATATCATCTTTTGTAATTCATGCTAATGCCTTACAAAAAAAAGGTTTCCTGAGCCTCTGCTTCCACCTTCCATATTCCCCATATTCCATATATTGTGTTTTCTGGCTGCCCATTGCATTCATGTTTAGCTTTCACTTTCTATTTAAAAAGCTGTAGGCAGAATTAATAATATCCCAGATTTAATTTTTTAGACAGCAATATATTAGAAGCTTGTGCAGAGAAAGTGATATTAAAAACAGCAGCTGGTAGACAGTTCATTTTTAAATCAGTGGTTTTAAAAACACTTGGACAGATGTCACAAACATACTTAGCACAATTTATTAATGAGTGATTCTGAGGCCACTGAAATGACGAATATTTACATTTGCCTACTGCTGTCTACCTACTGTCCTCAAACAAACGGAAGATTCCCCTAGTAGGTTTTAGTAGTGAATCGGGGTTCCCTTTATGTTGTTGTGATCCCATGTATGTCTCTTAATGCTTAAAACCTTTCTGCTGCTGATTAGAGTGAGAAACATTTTGTGTGTCTTGGGGACTCCATCAAGCGAGTAAGTTTTAAAAGTGATACTATGTTCATGTAAACCGGCTACATAATTATCATCTACTGTGTACTCTGGATTTCTTATCTATAAAAATATATTGTAAAACATCTACTGTGGTGGATAAAAAGTCTGCAATA